TAGGTTGGCTTGGCTTCCAGCAGTCTCTGAGAAGCTGGTACCTTCAGGAGTGTGTCAGGGATGGGGATGAGTGCCTGGATTTGGCTGAGAGAGGGTTCAGGAGGGCTCTGGACAGCTGTGTGCTGCATGGGGTTGAGTGTCTTGTCTGGCTCACATTCAGTACCCACGGCCACCTCCCTGTTTTCTGTGCCTTATCTCACTGTTTCAGCTGAGTCCAAGTTGTTTACTCTGTTCCTCTCCAAGGGGCTGTCTGTCCCAGTTGGACGGCTCATCTTTGGGACATAAGCCTTTGCCCACAGGCTGTGGAGAGGGCCAAAACCAAGCTGCTCGAGCTGGCTGTCTTGCCAATAGTCCAGACCTGCCTGCAGCTGAAGGAGCCCCTTATGCACACCCAGTCCAATCAGCCTGCTTTCAGGAGCCTGCAATATGGAAGGCACCTGGGAGCAGCCCTGGTGAAGGGCTGGACCCGATCTGTGGGGGTTAAGAAGCCCTCATTAGTTTGGTTCATCCAGCCCTGGGGAAGCAGCCTTCCCTACTCACCTTCCCCTTCTGACACAGGATGGTCGTTGCTTTCAGAGTGGAAACTGGTGGACCACTCAAAGAAAGCCAGAACTAACTATCCCTACCCATATGGATCTATGGCTAGGTGCAGGTCATCAGAACAGGGAAGTGGGGATTGCCTGGCCACCCGCCCCCTTCCCAGCCCATAAGCAAGCACAAAGATGAGACAGGATTATTGGAGCTGAAAGTTCCTTTGGTTGCTCACAACTCAGGTATGCATGCCATGTGGCAGCTGGACAGCAGAGCCCTACTTGGCCACCAGTCCTAGACACCTGGACCTGCTGTCACATGGTGGTCTCTGGCTGCCCCAAGCACCCACCTCTTTGCATAGGGTTTTCCTCCATTAGTAATTGCAGCTGAAACAGACATCCTCCACATTGTGCACACTGGTTCTGCCTTTGTCCTTGCAGGTTGATACTTGGCATTAGCATGAAACTTGTGGGCGTGGGAGGGTTGAGAGAGAATTCCAACACAAAACATCCTATTAAAATTGTACTTGAGAGATGAAAAAAACTCCTGTTGTATTTTGACAGAATTATTTTTATTAAAATACACATCCATGAGCAGTCATGCGTATCTGGTCTTTGTTTGGAGTCTTACTGGGGTTGGTACTCCTTTTGTAACACATCCTGTCAGGCCCTTTTCAGCCCAGCTTTTGAGTGTTCCAACCTGTGCTGCCTCAAGGACACTTGAAATTTCAGTGATTTAAAGATTCCAAATAAGTACTTACGCTTCAGTGCTCTCCCTTGGCTGGGTGTGGTGCCTCATGCCTGTAGTAACTTCAGCACTCAGGAGGCTGAGTCAGGAGGATTGCTACAAATTTGGGGCCAGCTTGAGCTACATAGCAAGATCCTATCTTTAAAAAAATAAATAAAACAAAAATCTCTGCCTAGAAACTGTTCACATTAAACAAGGAAAACAACAAATTCAGGTTTACAAAGTGGACCACGGGTGGTCTTCCCAAAAAACAAGATTTTAAGAATGCAGTCAACCCTCAGTATCCATGGGAGACTAGTTCCAGGAATCGCCACCCTTCTACCCCCAGACACAAAACTCCTTGGATGTTCAAGACCCTTATTTAACGTGGTATAATATTTGCATATAACTTGCATACATTATTGTAAATACTTTGAAATCATTTATACATTCTTTTTTTTTTTTTTTTTTTTTTTTGTCTTTTTTTATCGGTACCAGGGATCGAACTCACGACTGCCTGTTTGCAAGGCAGGTGCTTATGCCGCTGAGCTAAATCCCCAGCCCTACATTACTTCTCATACCTAATGTAAATGCTATATAAAAGCAGTTGTTACTCCGAATCGTTTTTAGGGAATGATGACAAAATCCAGACTTAGTGGTGATGCACATCCCAGCACACCTGAGGCTGAGGAAGGAGGATTCCAAATTCAAAGCTAACCTGAGGTACATAGTGAGCTCAAGGACAGCCTGGACTATATTGGCCAAGAAAGGGGCAGAGGACACCTGGGGATTTAGTTCAGCGGCATAAATGCCTGCCTGGCAAGCGTGAAGTCATGAGTTCGGTCCCCGGTACCAGAAAAAAATAATGAAAAGGAAACAAAATCTGTACATAGTTCAGGAGTTTTTTGGGGGCGAGGGGGAGGGACAGTACCCAGGACTTTCACACTGAGCTACAGTCCCATACCTTTTTAAACTTTTGAGACAAGGTCTTGCTAAATTGCCCATGTTTGGCTTGAACTTGGAATCCTTCTGCCTCAGCTTCCCATAGTAGTTGGATTACAGGGCTAGGTCATCATATTCAGCACAGTTTTTTCTTTCATAGTATTTTGTGTGGCCAGGCCGGGGATTTAGCTCAGCAGCATAAGTGCCTGCCTGACAAGCGTGAGGTTGTGAGTTCGATCCTCAGTCCCAAAGTAAAAAATAAAAGTATTTTGTGTGAGATGTTAGTTGACGCCACAGGTGCAGAACTTGTGGAAACAGAGGATACATTCCAAAGATTCCCTACCTATATACTGCAGTCAGGGCACCTGAGTACCTCTTGTGGGGTACTGAATTTTAAATCCCAGTTGAATTATTTAACTAACTTTGGGGTACTGAGGAGGATCGCTTCCTGTCAGTCTGAATTTTAAATCCCAGTTGAATTATTTAACTAACTTGGTGACCACAGGAAAATCAAGTTTCAGGTGTTTGGTGTTTTTTTTGAGACAATGTTTCACTATGTAGTTCAGAATGGCCTTGGACTTGCAGCAGTACTCCCAAGTATTGGGATTACAGTCATGAGCCTCCATGCTTGACCAGGTTAATAATATGGCTAATCCATCCATACTGTGGAGGTAGGGGATGACAGCATGCACACAGTAGGTTTTAGCCTCAGGATGCAGTACTTGGAACATCCTCTCTCCGTGAGGATGCTTCCTGCTATGTCTGGTCACTACTGCTTTATTCTGCCACCCAATCCCATAATCCAGGGTTGTATGCAGAAAAGAGATTCAGAGATCAGGCTAATGTTCACCTGGAGGTAGGACTGGGGACATAGAGAGGCAAAGAAACTAGGAGGCTACTGTAGTAGGCCACAAGAAGAGATTAAGGCTGAAAACTACTTAGATCACAGGATGAATGCTGAGGGCAATGTCACGAGAAACAAGACAAATGCAGGCTTTGGAGTGAGTGGCAAGTACATACGGAACAAAAGGAAGGAGGTACTAAGTTACTGGAGTGGGAAGGTTTGCTGAAGAGCATGTAAAATTATATCTCAGGGAGACAGTTTCTCAAGTTCCTCTGAGGTGCAGTAATCAAAAAACAGTCTCGGATATTGATCATGAATATTACCAACTATTTAAGTGTTAAGATGCACTGCATAGTCCCTTAGCTTTTCAAATTTGTGTTAGTTTCCTCTGAAAAAGGACTGTTCCTCTACAGATTGGGAAGGGGAGTAGGTGTTTCCTGGGATTGAACCCAGGACTCCATGCATGCTAGGTAAGTGCTGTACCACCTGGCTGCATCCAGCCCAGATTTTTCTTTGCGTGGCGTGTGTTTGGTTGTGGTAGGTCTTGAAATCGGGTCTCAGGTGTACCAAGTATTCTACCACAGAGCTACCCTCAAATCCTAAAGAATTTTTAAGAACTAGGAGAAAGGGAGGAAAGGAGTATCAGCTTAAACACCGAAGTCTTGAGTTCATAAGTAAAGCTGGAGTAGGTTTATTTTCCTCCAGACTGGGTTCTCAAAGGAATGATTTTGGCCCTAGGAAATGTTCAGCAATGTCTAAAGATAGTTGCAACTGGGATTACAGTGCTACTGGCATCTCCCCCCCCCAAAAAAAAATTAGCAGGCCTAGCATGTCAATAGAAACTCTCTACAAGTGTGGAGTTAAAAATGACTGAGACAAACATCAAACTAGGGCACCTCTTGTCTGGCTGTTCACGATCCAGGGGAGGAGACAGGCAATAGAAACAAGTTAAAATTTCTCACTACTGTGAGCACCTCTCATGCTGGTAAGCAGTCCTGTCCACCCAATCCAAGGACAGCCTTGCAGCTGGTCATGTCCACATCACAGGCTCTTTTGGAATGATGGCTGGAGGCCCTCTAGGAGTCATCAGGAGAGTCAGGCAAGCAGGGACAAGCTCCACATGTAGAAATGACTCCGAATACATTTCCTACAGAGCCAGTTTCACACTTTAGTAGTCTGGTGAATCAAAGGGTAGCCTTGGCTGTAACATTTATTTAGATAGGATAACACCGGTCACAAAGAACAAGTAAAGGGGAGCTTGGTACAGTGTTGAACACCTGTAAGGCAGGAGGCAAGTTTGAGGCTTATCATCAAAATAGAAAATAAGAGGGCCGGGGTTATAGCTCAGCGACATAAGTATCTACCTGGCAAGCACAAGGTTCTATTACCAAAGAACAAAATAGAAAATAAAAGGCCGGGAGTCGGGGGATGCAGCTCAATGGGAGAACACTTTGTAGCATGTGCAAGGCCCTGGGTTCAATATCCAATACAAGGGAAAAGAAAGGCGGTTGAGGTCACATTTACAAGAGCACCAACATTTAACAAAGAACACCCAGAGGAAGGGGAGTCCAGACAAGAATATGAGAAAACAGGAAAGCGAGTCCTAGGAATCTGGAAGCCAGAAAGTCCCACAAATTCGAGACTCGGTCTTCTGCAAAGATACGTCATTGTCTAAAACAAAACTTTGCTTCATTATAGGAGAACCAAAGTCCATCACAATTTCTAGGAGGTCTTCATTCCTGACAATTACCACACCCGAGAGAGAAACTAGGGGTTTAAACGCATAGCCACCACCGTTACCGCAGCCGGAAATACTTGTAACACTAGGATCTCCCGGTTGGGCCGTTTAGGCTCCGCCTCCAACCAGCGAGCATGCGCGGCCCCTTGCCCCCACCCCTCCCCTCACAGATCCACCCCCTTTATGGAGCATGCGCTGTTAGCCCTGTGTCCCGCCCCTCCCTTCCATAGCCCCCGGTTCCTTAGAAACCAGGCGGCGTGTTCCCTGAGTTTGGGCAATACGTTACGGTACCTGCTCAACCCCGCTAGGCTTTCTCAAGGCGGGCTGGTGGCCTCTGAAACCCGTCCGGACTCATGGTCTCCGTTGTGGCGCAGAGCGGGCGATGCCAGCGTGCCAGGTGAGAGGCGGCCCGCGTCGGCGGGTGAGGGTGAGGGAGGGCATGGCGCGGCCGCGAGCGGGCGCTGGGCCTCGTCCACCGCCCCTCGCCCGAGGTGAGATAAGCCGAATCCAGCTGGCTGAAGCTGTGCTAATTGCCAGACGCCCTAGGATTCGTCGTCTTTACCTCAGAAATGCACCTCAGTTATGGACTTGAAGAATTTTGGATCCTGGAGGATCTGGAACATAGCCCATCCCTTTACAGAGGCGAAAGCCTGGTTTCCCCAGCCATGTGCTGAGCAGAATCCCTACCTGTGCGAGGATGGACGCTTATGGATGAGGATGTGTGGAGTGTGCAAGCCTTAGACAAAGGGTTTGTGCGGTAGCTGGTCCAACCCTCTTTCAGAACGAGATCTGACTTTTAGGGGATAAATCTTTTTTTTTTTTTTTTTTTGGCTTTTTCGTTTTTACCGGTACCAGGGATCGAACTCACGACTGCCTGCTTTCGAGGCAGCCACTTATGCCGCTGAGCTAAATCCCCAGCCCCTAGGGGATAAATCTTTAAACAACAAATATTCGAGTATTCAGTCGGGCGTGATAGTTCACGCCTGTAATCTCAGCTACTGGGACAGCTGAGGCAGAAGAATCGAGATTTCGAGGCCAGTCTGGGCAGTATAGCAAGACTCCGTCTCAAAAAAAAAAAAAAAAAAGGAGAGAGGGGAGCGGAGAAACAGGTGTTCTGGTGGCAACTGAGACACCCCAGAAGGGTCTGGCTTGGCTTACCAACTCCTGGATACTCTGATCAGTTCTTGGTCTTTCTCTGAAGCTCAGAGTAGAAACTGATGGACTGTGGAGACAAAAGGTGAGGTAAGGTATTACTATGAAAGCCTATCATTCTTGGATGGTGAAGGGAAAACACGATTTGTGAAAGGTTGTGTGGAGCTTACTTTACAGACTGCAGCAGAATCTAAAGAACAGGATAAGAATGGATGGAAACCAAGGCTGTTTATAAACCACCTACTTTATATTCACTGTTCCCACAGTGTCATGCAGAGGGCATATGAGGAAGAAAAAGAAACAAGGTTAGACATCACCCTGGTGATCTGTGAGGCACATAGGATCTCAAAAGGAAGACTCCATAGCATATGACCCTTCAGTTGAAAGGAATAGCATTTAAATTAGAAAAGGAGGACGCTCAAAATGTTATTGTGGGGCCAGGGATGTAGCTCAGTAGCACAGCACCTGCCTGGCAAACACAGGGTCCTGAGTTTGATTCCCAGTATCAAAAAAAAAAAAAGTTATTGTGATTTGAAAGATATGGAGAATATGGTTATCTTTGAGCAGGGGGAGCTAGATTCATTCTTGATGAGGAAAGCCATTTCTTTCTAAAAAGCTGCACCAGAGAACAAAAGAATTTCCAGGCCATTCATTTTACAGAAAACATGGAAAAAATTACAGCTAGGAATTTAGAAAATCTGCATAAACTTAGATGTAAAAGTTTTTAGCAGGCGGTTCTATTGACAGAATTCCCATTTTACAGATAAATCTTCTGTTAAGAAAGGCGTTTGTCATACAAGCGGTTGTCCCACTTTTCATATGGAGTGATGAATCTGGTCTATTTTTTTGATTTAATCAGTTTTTTTTAATTTGCAAAGAAAATTCAGATATACATGTGTTCAATATGAGCCCTTTGTGGTAGTACACACCTGTAATCCCAGCCCTCTGGGAGGCTGAGGTAATGCCATCTCAAATCTGATCCCAGTCTGAGCAATTTAGCAACACTATCCCAAAATTTTTAAAAAGGAAGAGGCTGTACGGGCTGAGATTTTAGCTCAGTGTGAAGGTCCTGAGTTCATTCCCAGTACTGTGAAAAGAATAGAGCAATGTGGAGAAAAGTGCGTGGGTTTTTTGTCTTTTTGTGACAGGGTTTCACTGTATAGTTCAGGCTGGCCTTGAACTCATTTTGTAACCCAGGTTGGCTTTGAACTTTCAGCTGATCTTCCTGCCTCAGCCTCCTAAAGGCTGGGATTACAGGCATATGCCATCATGCCAGGCAAGTATATGATTTTTAAATAGTAATTTCTGATTCTGATTACCAAGGTCAGTGTTGCTTCCCTGATAAAACTGATTGTCAGTGTATATTTGACTTTGGAGTGGGATTCCCCTCACAGAGAAATAAGAGAAGATACATTGAAAACAAAATGTATATAGATCAAATCAATTTGAGTAAGAAAGATTTGTCTTAAGTGCATAAATGAATGCCAGATTATCACTGTGGAAACAGCTGCAGCTATGCATTTTGTTGACATTTTGCACTTGTGGGATTATTTTGTGTGGATACTTCAAAAATAAGGATGCATTATCAGAAGCCTGCATAATCTATGGAGAAAATGAGTATTAGTAACCAATTTCTGTCAGGAAAGCTTCCTGAAAATAATTGTATTCTATGTAGAAACCCCATTACTTTAGTGTTGACTCAGGTGGAAGGAAGAAAGAGGCCAAAATCCAAATAAAGATGTAAGAAGCCAGTTGTCCTCTACAGACTTGGATTGGATGTGAACCTATACTGTGGAAGTGCAAACACTGCTTGAGTAAGTGAACTGGCTACCAAGTGCCCCATGGAATGCCACAATCAGAAAGACACTTATTTTGTCTCTTAAGAGGGGAGTATTAGAATTGTAGAGAACTCTCAAAGTGTTTCTACCGTTGCTATGACAATGAAACCTTTGACAAATAATTACTTCCTTCTACTTCATTATCATGCAACTAACAGGTCAGTTATCAAGTTTGACCTATAATAAAATAATCAACAGTATTTGACAGGCCTAAGGTAAGAGGAAACCTTACCAGATAAACCAGTAATGCTAACAGGATCTACTTTCACTGAACTGAATTTTTTTTTTCTTTTTCTCTGTATTGGACTTTGAATCCAAGGGTTTCCTACAGTTCTACCACTGAGCTACATCCCAGTCTTTTTATGTTTTATTTTGAGCTCTGTGTGATGATGCATGCTTGAATTTTGGGAGGCTGAAGCTGCAAGTTTGAGGCCCACCTGAACTACGAAGTGAGACCCTGTCTCAAGAAAAAGAAAGGAAAAAACAAGCACCCCCCCCCCCACACACACACACACTACACCATGCTTTAGAACTGGTTTGTGAGAGGAGTTTGGAAAGTTTTAGAACTGCGTGCTGGAGGAGTAGTCCTGGAATGCTGTGAGGCAAGCTAAATGGGAAATTCTGGTTAGAATTCAGAAGACAGGAATGCAGATACAAATGCATATGGTAAAGACAAGAGTAAGATTTCAATTGGGAACAAAGACTCCATTAACAGGTAGACTTAAGATGATATATGTTACACTCTAGAAGAAAATTCATACAGACTTTGCTTATGTCCTGAGACTGTGAGAGCAGATTACAGGGTATAGACTAATTTGGCAGAGGAAATTTCAAGGCAGCCCAACATTCAGGTTATGGGATGAATACTATGGGGGCTATTGGGTGCTCTACAGCACATCTGAATGATTTAAAATTTTTTGAATTTCACCATAGAGGAAGTGCCTGTAAAATTGGTGGCCAAAAAGATGGGAACAGAGGAGAAATTAGCTTTTAAAAAGAAGCCAAATGCTGGGCATGGTGGTATATGCTTATAATTCCAGCACTCAGGAGGCTGAGGCAAGAGGATTGCAGAGTTTGAGGCCAGCCTAGGATACAGAGTGGGAATAAGCAAGGAAAGAGCAAAGCCAGTCCCAAAGAGAAACCATGGGGGCTAAAATCATCAGCAGTTGAATACGGGGAAGGCCACCCAACTCCTTTGGAGAAGCATCTTGCCACAACTTTCCCTAGGTGCTGGACATAGAACTACAGGATTTAATGTTTGCCTTACTGGATTTTGGTCTTGTTTTGGTCCAGTTTCTTTCTCTCCTGCTGTCCTGCCTTGGGGCCAGCCAACAGTGGACTGAAACTTCTGGAAGGGTGGCAGGTATTAGAGCTCTGTGATGAGAAAGTTACTAAAACTCGTGTTTTATAAACAGGAATGAGCCAGGTATGATGGGGCACACGCCTGTAAGGAGCCCAGGGTGGGACTGCCATGAGTTCCAGGCCAGGCTGAGCTACACAGTGAGTTCAAAGCCAGCCTGAACCTTGTATTGAGACCCTAGCTCCAAAAAAACCCCAAAAAAACCCTCACTAAAATACTATCACATCAAACCAAGGAAAAGGAAATGAAAATTTTCTATCTCTGTGCTTAAGTACTATCACTTCTCAAGTAACCAGTGATAAAATATGCACTTGGTTCCAGGATAGCTTCAGAATGGGAGAGTTCAGGTAGGGAATATAGTGCAGTGGAACAGCACCTGCCTGGCAAGTGCAAGGTCCTGACTGAGTTCAATTCACGGTGCCTTCCCCTCTCCTCGCCCCCCCCCCCAAAAAAAAATAGAATTGAGAAGGTGAGGACAGCTAATCTCTGAGAGCTGCTTCTGTCAGGATTTCTATCAGTTCTCTATAATGAAGGGTTAAGAACGAAGGCTGTGAAAAATAGAAACCAAGTATTGAGTATATGCTTTCCTTCTCAGCCAAGATAACTGTTTTTCCCCATCTGTCAGCTTTCAATTTCTTATGAGAACAGAGAACTCCAAAATAGAAACTATTCTACTTGGCTTTGAGACTTACCATATACTTTATATCCTCAAAGTTTTTATTATTTACTTTCACAATTACATTTTGCTTAAAATGATAACCTTAGGCCAGACATGGTAATATATATCTATAATCTCAGCAGTACCTATAATCCCAACACCCTGAGGCTGAGACATGAGGATCATAAATTGGAGCCTGGTTTGGACAAATTAGTAATTAATTTAGCCCTTGTCTCAAAAAAAAAAAGCAGTGGAAATGGGAATATAGCTCAGGGTGAAAGCCCTGGGTTCTTTCCCCAGTCATCTCCCTGCCAATTATAACCTTAGGCAAATCATGTAACCTCATAACTTCTTTTTTCTCATTGATACTTGGATGGAACATAATCTCCTAATCTGTATAATTTGTAACACAAAATGAAATGAAAATGACATCAATGTCTGACACTAGAGAAATGAAACACTGGTTCTTATAGTCAGTAACATATCATAACGCTTAAACTGTTTGTGAGGATTAAGGATGTAACTCAGGTAAGAGTGCTTTCCTTGCATGTGCGAAAACATGGGTTTAATCCCTGGTATTGGGAAGGAAAAAAAGAAACTACTTAAAGTAAAATGAAAAATGTTTATGTCAAATGGTAAATGAAAAAACTCCAGAAACAAAATTATGAATATAGTTTGATCATAAGTACCTCAAACAAATGTAGCTGGGCATGGTGGTGCATACCTGTAATTTGAGTACTCTGGGAGGCCTGTGGTGGATTGACAGGTGGTCAACTTGTAATACTTGCTGAACCGAATCAGCGTGGTGGTGAGTATAGATGGCCCACCTAAAGATTCTTGACTATATAAAAAGGAGAACTGGAGAGGAAGGGGTGGTAGTGTTGGTTTTCCTGGTGCTGTTAGTTCTCCTGGAGGACCTTGTCGAGCTTCTTTTCTGATAGGAACTTGGCTATTCTCATCAGAGGAGCTTGGGACCTTGTTGTCACTGAGAATATCTGCGGTTCTCTTTGGGGAAACTTTGTTCCTTCCTTTGAGCATCACTTCCTAGCTCTGGAGGGGACGATGGTGTACTGCTTAGTCTCGTGGAGAAGCTAGTCACACTGGCTTCCTGATATGAACTGGACTATTCTTATCATTGGAGAAGCTTGGGACCTCACTCTCACTGAGGATGGCTATGATACTTTCGAGGGGAGCTCTGGCCTTTGTTTTACGCATTGCTTCCTGGCTCCAGTGCAGAACCCTTAGCCTGCTGGCACAGATCCTTCATCCCACTGGCACAGACTTGCTAGCTTCCACCGCTGACCTTTGAGCCTTCTCAGTGCAGATCTGTGAAACAGACTTGCATGAGTCATTGTCGTGGGCTCTAGGCCTCCCATTGGACTTGTAGGAGGCATTCTCATAGGCTCTAGATCTTTGGCTGAATGTATGTAGGACCTTGCAATGGGATCCAGGTCCTCAGCTGGATTCTTTGAGGTCTCTTATGTGTAGACAGATTTTGGCACTTTCTGTGTTTGACTCTTTGGGTGACTATTATAAAATAATACTGACACATAATTAAATTGTTTTCCTTGAAAACTCTGACTACAACACGGGCTAAAACAGGAGAAGCACAAGTTTGAGCCTAGTCTGGACAATTTTAAGACCCTGCTTCAGAGTAAAACTTTTTTAAAACTTCTGGGTATGAAACTCAGTATAAAGGCCCTGGGTTCAATTCTCAGTGTTGAAGGAAAAATAAAACTTTTTGAAAATTAAAACAGTATTACAAAAAAAGAATATAAAAAGAAAACATAGTGATATTATATACTATATAATACTTTTTATTAAATTATATTTATTTCATTTTCTGAGAAAGAGCCTTGCTATGTAGTACATACCAGTCCTGAACTCTATGTAGCCCAATCTGGCCTTGAAGTTGTGACCCTCCTTCCACAGGCTCTCAAGTATTAGGATTACAGCACACACCACCCACCACACCCATCCTAGAAGAGTTTGTGGGGTTTTATTTATTTATTTTTTGTGTGTCTTTTGAGGCAAGATCTCATTTTGTAGTTGAGGCTGTCCTTGAACTCACTATGTACCTTAGAGTAGCCTTAAACTAGCAGCAGTCCGCCTGTTTCAACCTCCCAAGTGCTGAAATTATAGGCATGTATTACCAAGCCAGGTCTAACACAATTTATAAATACAGGGGAACTGCAAGTTCGAGGCCACCTTGGGCTACATAGCAACTTCAAGGCTGGCATGGACTACATAAAGACCCAGTCTCAGAAAACATATGTACATACATAACAAACAAATTGATGTGAGGGATTTGGTGTGTAGCTCAGTGGTAGAATACTTGCCTCACGTGCACAAGACCCTAGGTTCCATCCCCAATACTGCAACAATTAATTTAAAATGTGTGTGGAAAGTGTGGCAGAAACTGGGCAGTGCAAATGTTTCCTATTTCAGGTGTCAGTGAACCAAACTGTAAGGTTACCTAGATCATGAATTTACTTGTATGTCATTGAAAGGTAGTTTTACAGATCTTACAGCCTTTTCTGAGGCTGTTATTTCTTTGGTGCTTGCTGAAGAGTTTTGACTCTTAGATTTTTCTTTTGTGCTTGTTGATGGGTAGCTTTCTGCAAAAAGGGTGACTGGACCAGTCCAGCCAATGGGGAACCGTTTAACCTTCCCAGGCACTAGAGGCGAGATAGCAGAGGTAGATAACATGTGTCTGGGTTGCTGTGTCCCTGGGTCCCTTAAGTGTGTCCTATAGTGAAAATCCAGAAGGAAGTCAGGTGAACCCCCCCAAACTATCTTTTGCTGCCACAGAAAGAATAGAGCACTTATTTCTGCACAGAAGGTTGAAAACAACGAAAACCTGTCATTTAGTTTTGTCCATTGAAAACCATTTTGTTTTGTTTTTGTTTTAGGGATTGAACTGTGCCTTCACACTGACCTACATCCCACTGAAAAAACATTTTTCATGATAATTTAAAAGTCACCCACTGGCCTGGAGATGTAATTCAGTGGTAGAGCACTTGCCTCGCACATCCAGGGCCCTGGGTTCAATCCCCAGCCCTACAAAAACAAAAACCTCACCTTTTGGGACCATAGTTAAAACTAAAATATGTAGCATAGTTTTTTCTGTGTTGGCTGCTTCATGTACCTTACAGATGTGTGCTGTGCAAAGTAGAGTGTTTGTTTACGTGCCTGCCACAGGAACGATCTTTGAATACTCCCTATTCTCTTAGTCCTTGGATCATTCTTCTGTGCACTCCAGGTTCTTATGTAATGCCTGATTCACTGTGTGTTTAAAAATATTGGGAAATAGCTTGATTCATGCCAGTAATTTCAGCACTATAGGTAGTCAAAATAAGGGGATCACTGATCTGAGCCCAACCTGGGCAACTAACTTAAACGCTGTCTCAAAATAAAAAATTTAAAAAGGGATGTGGGCTGAGTTTGATTCCCAGTACCAAAAAAGGAAAAAAAAAAAAGATATACATGTGTCTCAGTGCAAAAGTGGCTGGCTTCCTTCCCCAGTACCAGATTAGGATAAGCTAGAAGGGAATGAATGAGTAAAGGACTGTAATGGCTAAATACTCTACCTTTAAAAGGGGAATGGCAAAGAGGAGAGTCATGTTTAAGGAAGGAAAAATTCACTGAAGAAGCTAATAGTCGCCCAGGTGGGAATTTCTAATAGACACTTAGAAGTATGGAGGTGGAGTTGGAGTATTCTGTCAGGGCTGGAGATAAGACATTAGGAATAGAGCCAGGTGTAGGAGCACATTTCTATAATCCCAGCGCTTTGGGAGGTTAAAGCAGGAGGATCACTGTGAATTCGAGACCAGCCTCGGCTACATAGTGAATTTAAGGTCCATCTGAACTGATTAGTGAGACCCTGTCTCAAAAAAATAAAAATAAAAATGAGGTTAGGAATATTTTCCTGGCAGTCACAGTGAAATTGACGGATAAAGTTCCTTGGAGAGAGAGTATGGCTGAGGATGGAAATTTTCAGGGGAGTGTCAGTCTGCCTTTGGCTGTTACGCCATAAGAGAAAAGAATGATGCTGTTATTGCCATATTTTTAAAATCAATAAAGGGCCAGGGGTATAGTTAAGGGTTTGAACACTAACATGAACAAGGCCCTAGGTTCAATCCCTAGCACTAAGGTTTAAAAAAAACAAACAGTAGAGATATAATATAGATGATACATGGGTGCTTTTCCTGTTATTATCACCTGTAGCTTTTTATACTTTAAAATTTTTAAATGTATTTGTTTTCTTGAGACAGGGTCTCACTGTGTAGTTCTGGCTGGCCTGAAGCTTACTAAATAGCCTCAACCTTCCAGAGTGCTTGGGGTATAGGCTTGCACCCATGTATCCAGTTGAGCTGACCCTTTTGTGCACTGGTTTCCTTCCTGGAACATGGGTGGAGGAGGGCGGAGTAGGGAATTGGTCTATACTGTGATTCCCCGGTGGCCTGCCTAAGAGTTTATTCTGTAAGTACCGTGTGCTAACCCATTACACCACTGGAGCTCCACAACCTAGAACTTTACTGCCCTGACAGTTTTTTGAGCTGGGGAATAGCATTTTTCCCCTGCCCTAGTTTTGTTTTTGCTCTTAGTGTTTTTGCTCTTTGTTTTTGCTCTGTTCATAGAAACAAACCATAGAGAAACTAAATTTTCTCCGTGGACTCTCTAGATCATTGAAAGCCAGGTTCCAGATAATTAATTATAACTATAGTTTGTAAAACTCCATCCTGATTTCTTTACTTAGGCTCTTATTTTTCAGTGGGAACATAAATGCAGCACAATAAACCTCATACCTATCTGAAATCATTAGTATTATCATTTCAGGCTCTTTAAGTTGTAGGTTTGTTAGTGGGGAGATGTAACTGTATGTAGTCTTTTAGCTGTGAACATGCATCTAGAACTCGGAAGCTGAACATTTGTTCCAGGTTCAGTCTCTGGGGGTGAAGTATACCTATCTTTGCTCTGTGGGTCCAGCTCTGCTAGTTAGGTGTTGTTTGCCCATCAGGCACACTACCTCAATTCTGGAACTCAAGGGGGCCAGAAGAAAAGCTGAAGGACAGTAAGACATACTTATCTAATTCTTGGTATACAACTGTTGCTAAAGGTTACATGAAAGGCATTCTTGTTTATTTCTCAACAGATTCCTGGTTTCTACAAAGCAAAACATTGGTCTTTTTGGGTTTGTTTTATTTTCATTTTTGAGGCAGGGGCTCACTATGTAGGTCAGGCTGTCCTTGAATTCACTATGGAGTCCAGGTTTGCCTCAAACTTGTGGTGATCTTCCTGCCTGTGCCTCCCAAGTGCTGGGACTGTAGGCATGCACTACCACATCCAGCAAAAAATTGATTTTCAAATCCTTCTTTTCTTTTTTTTTTTTTTTTTTTGGCTGGGGATTGAACCGAAGGTATTCCTCAGGCTAAGCACAAGTTCTAGTGCCAAGTTATCTCCCAGCCCCTATATATATTTTGAAATTTTAGCTCCTTTACCATGTTTTTGTGTTAAAGATCCTTTTGCAACTGGTTATTAAGTCTTACGGTGAGTTCCACAATATTATTCAGGGTAGCTTGTACTCCTTGGATAGTTTATAGTCTTAAAAGTTTTAGCTGGGCACAGTGGCATAAGGCTGCAATCCCAGCACTCAGGAGGGTGAGACATGAGGGTCATGAATTTGAAGCCAACCTGGGCTATATAATGGGTTCAACACTGGCCTAAAATATGCAATGAAAGCCTGCCTTTAAAAAAAAAAAATAGTGACATACGGCCTGTAATTCCAACACTAGGAGGCTGACACAGGAGGATTAACATGAGTTTGAGGGCACCCTGGGCTACACAGAGTTCAGTCCAGCCTGAACTACATAGATCCTGTCTTATTAAAAAAAAAAAAAAGAGCTGGGGATTTAGCTCAGTGCCATAAGCACCTGCCTGGCAAGCACGAGGTCATGAGTTCAATCCCTGGTACAAAAAAAAATCCAAGCAGAACAACCAATGTGGACCAAAGTCTCAGAGCAAGACTGAAGGAATCTGGTGTAGTAGTAACTGCTAGCCTCTTGAATACAAATGTAATGAAAAAGTGATGTGGTGTGTTAGAGACCTGGGAAGCCTCCTATCCACACTGCAGACCTATTTGTGAGCCCTATCAAATAATTTGGGGGCCAGGAATATAGATCAAATGCACAAGTGCCTACCTGGCAAGTACAAGTACAAGGTCCTGAGTTCTATTCTCAATACAAAAAAAAAAAAAAAAAAAAAAAAAAGAACTTGATTGGGACTTATCCAGCAGGCACTTGAAGGCTAGAGAAGGAAATGATCAGGATCAGCAGAACTGCGGGTGTCTTTGGGGAACTAGAACAATGAATGTATTGAAGAGATAATCCACATATCCAGTTGATGGAATAATGGATTGGCCTTAGGGACAGAGAGACTTCACTGCAGCCACATGGCTGCTTGTAAACTGGTTAGGTTTGAGTCATTTTCACTTGGTTGAGTCCACTGTCACTTTCCTTTTCTTCACATCTGTGTGTTGGCATTTGACTGAATGTATCCCATTCCTGCTGAGTCCCTATGATCTTACAAGGCTTGACAGTGCAGTATGCTTCACTGGTAAGGGAGCATCTTACCTGTATGGGACTGAGGTAACTAGGCCATGTCATGTAGAGGAGGGCTGAAAATTGGAGAGATGGTTTTGGGTGAGGGGACCCTTTTGGCAGTTGATGTAACAAAAGGCAGCAGACAACTCATCTTCCTGATTCTAAGCTTAATACATTATTTGACCGTTGTTTTCTTTCCTGAACAGTTAAACTTCATATTGCCTCCAACTACTTAGGCTAGTGACATAGGAGTATCTTTTCTTTTTCTTCAGTTCCTAGGATTCAACCTAGGGTCTTTGCACTAAGCTACATCCCAGCCATTTGCTTTTGTTTTATAACAAGATCTCACTAAATTGCTCAGTCTAGGCTTGAATTTGTGGAAGCTTTAGGCTTCCACAGTGCTGAGGTTACAGGTATGCATTAGCACACTCAGGATTCCACCCCCTCTGCTCCCACCTCCACGCCCACCCCTTTAAATCCAGGGCCTTGCACCAAGCTACATCTTAAGTCACAAATATCACCCTTCTTTTTTGATTTTTTTGTTTGTTTGTTTTGGTTTTGGGTTGTTGTTGTTGTTGTTGTTGTTGTTATTGTTGTTTGAGACAAGTTCTTACCATGTGGTTCAGGCTGGCCATGAACCCACTAGGTTAGCCCAGGCTGGTCTCAAAACTTGGAGCAGTCCTTCTGCTTCATCCTAGTCTTCAGTGCTAGGATGACAATCATGCACCACCATATCCAGGGCTAGCCCTTTTTATTTTTCTGTTTTGAGACAGCAATACACCTGTAATCCTAGCACTTAGGAGACTGAGGGAGAAGCATCACTGCAAATGTGGAGGCCAGCCTAAACTACATAGCAAGACCTTTCTTCAAAAAAAATTTTTTTAATTAAAAAAATAAAACCATAAGACAGAATGGAATCTTCAAGGGAGTATAAATAGGGAACAGAAATGGACGAGGCCCTGAGCTGTGGTTACTACAGTCATCACCCAGAAAATCTAGCAGTGAGGACTGAAAGTTGGAAGGAAAATTGAGATGTTTGTGTTCTGGAAGCCTGGTGAAAAAGACTGTGGAAGGTGGGTGGGACATAACCGCATTGGATGCTGCTGATAGGTCTGAGTGAGCAGAGTAGGAGAACTGACTTGGATTTAGCAACATTTTAATTGTATTGACAAATATCAGGTAGCTGAAGCTTAGTTATTTGTAGTGTGATTTATGGCCAAAAGTGTAGGCTTTTCAACCATGAATCTGGACACAGAGCATCATAAGAGTTGTGTAGTTGCTGTTTGAAGTTCTAAACATTTTGTATTTTTAGAGGAGAGGAGAATGAGGGTTTGAACCAGGCCTTCACACTGAACTATACCCCTAGCCCTTTTTTATTTTGTCACTAGATCTAAGTTGCTTGGAACAGGCTGATTGGAACTTACGATTCTCTTGCCTCAGCTTCCCAGAGTGCTAGGATTATAGGCCTGCATTATCACATCTAACAAAATATTTTACTCTTTCCTCCTACCTCCTTGGCTCCATTCTGTACTGAGGAAATGCTTGGATAGATGTTTGGACTTCTCTGGAGAAAAGGGAGTATGCCAATTACAGGCTGACTCTGTACTGTAGGCTTGCGAACATGCTGGAGAATGATTCCACAGCTTCCTGCTAAGCTTGTGCTCTATTGCTGATCTCTACCCTCAGTCAAACTGGCTTTTTCATTGACTTTGGGTTGCTGGGTTTTGTTTTTTTTTTTTTTTTTTTTCTTTTTCTTTTTCTTTCTAAACTACCAGTGTCTGTCTATGAGAATTCAGCTCCATGGTGTGGACAGTGCCTTTCTAATACAGAACTCAAAAGTGCCGTACAGATATTGTATATCATTTACCATTTTAAGTTAGGCTAATTTATATCCTGCTGAATGCTGTCACAGAACTGTGTCTTTTTTTTTTTTTTTTTTTTTTGTCTTTTTCCTTTTTATCGGTACTGGGGATCGAACTCATGACTGCCTGCTTGCAAGGCAGGCACGTAGGCCGCTGAGCTAAATCCCCAGCCCCTCAGAACTATGTCTTCCCTCTTCCTTTATAGTACTAATCTCAAATTGTCATGACATGCTTATGGTTTTTGTTTGTTTGGTTTGTTTTTTGTCTTTTTGAGGCAGAGGCCCAGGCTGGCCTCGAATTCTCAGTGATTCTTCTACCTCAGCCGCTTGAGTGCTGGGATTGCAGGCGTGTACCAACATGAGCAGCTCAGTTTGTATAGTTTTTGATTGTTTTATCTCTCCCAGACTGTACAGTCCTTTTGAACAAAAGCTGTAACTATTTTGTTCACTAACCTAGCCTGTGCTTTGTCTATGGTTTGTGTTTGGTTGTCCCCCCTAGTACCTCATGCCATCATGGAGACAGGCTTCTAGAGTTTGTGACTGATTCATAGTCCAGTTCTGGGATTATGGGTGTGAGTGCTAGACACAAATGGTTGTGGCCTAATACATATAAGAGACAGAGTCTTCTCTTGCACTCTTCTCTTTTTGCTTTTGTTGTTTTGCTATCTTCTGCTGCCATGAGCTGTTGCCCCTCTGCCATGCCACTGTGCTTGGAGCCAACGATTATGGACTGAAACCTCCACAAACTGTGAGCTAAATAATCCTATCCTTTCTTAATTTTGGGTATCAGGTATTTTGTCTCAGCAATGAGAGAAAAATAACCAAGACATGACCCATAACAGATCCTTAATAAATGTATATTAGGAGCTGGGGATTTAGCTCAGCGGCATAAGTACCTGCCTTGCAGGCAGGCAGTCGTGAGTTTGATCCCCGGTACTGGTAAAAATGAAAAAAAGACAAAAAAAAATGTATATTAATGAGTCTGTCTGCATAAATTGCAGGTGTAATTTCACACATAAGCACCTAAAATAGCCTATAATTAGCTCAGCTAAAGTCACAGTCTGTTTTAAAATGAGGTTGAAGGGCTATCTCATACTACTTAGGAGCCTGATATTAGCTTTGGCCACAGAGTTTTATTTTAACTTTTTTGATAGAGTGCAGTTGAACCTAGGGCCTTACTCATGCTAGGCAAGAACTATACCACTAATCTACATTCTCATCCCAACAATATTTTATTTTATTTTATTTATGTTGATACCAGGGATTGAACTCACAGGCAGGCACTTATGCCACTGAGCTAAATCCCCAGCCCACCAACATATTTTATAGTTAGAACTCAAGTATAAAAAACTATCTAGGCCATGCATGGTGGTGCACACCTGTAATCCTAGCACTCAGGAGGCTGAATTATGAGTTCAAGGCCAGACTAACCTACATAGTGAGTTTAAGGGCAACCTTAACTACATAGCGAGATCCTGTCTCGATAAACAGGCAAACAAACAAACCATCCATAGAAAAATCTAGTTTCCAAATGAATCTTTTGACCTTATCCTTCCAAATGGGATTATGACAAAGTCTGGTGGCACCTCAGTCTGTGGGAGGTTCAGAGCTCTGGCAGCTGCTCTCGCTGGGAAACTCCAGGTTTGGTGCTGGCTCTCTGTCCAGTCTTGGGCTAAATGGACTTTGGGACTGAACTGGGGCTTCCACCTTTCTGTTATGCCATACCTTATTGCTAAGCCACAAATAAACATACACCATTTCCATACTTAACAGCCATAATTGTTTGCTTACTTAGTGATAGAGGGGAACTGTCTTTGAACCCTCTCTTTTAATATGAATTCTCTTCAAATGACATCTTTTTTTTTTCCTCTTTTGGTGATACTGGAGTTTGAACCCAGGGCCTTCATATTGAACTATATATATTCCCAGGCAGGGTCTCACTGTATAGCCTAAGCTGGCCTCAAACTCACAGTCTTGCCTTGGCCTACCAAGTGCTGCAATTATTGGCATATGTCACTATACCTTGTGAAAAGTATCTTTATGTAGACTCAGCAATTGCTGAGACCAACTAGATCACTGGGACTTAACCTCATACTATTTCCTCAGAAAACTTGTTCTCTTGGCCCCAACCATTATCTCCATACTGATAAATGTCTCTCAAATTAAGCTTACAGGATTTTCTTTATTTTAGAGAAACAGAGTTTTAATTCATATATAATCATTATAAATATGAGCTCACAAACAAATGGGTTGTTCTATGCCCTTAACTACTTATAATGATTTTTTGTTTTTGGTGGTACCGGAGATTGAACTCACAATCTCGCACTTGCCAGGCAGGTGCTTACATTGCTGACCTAAACCCCAGCCCCCCATATAATGATTAAAAATTGAAGCATGTATTTTTTTTATTTTTAACCAGTACCAGGGATCGAACTCATGACCACCTGCTTGCAAGGCAGGTGCTTATGCCACAGAGCTAAATTCCTAGCCCCGAAGCATATATTTTTAAAATTGAGGTATAATTTACATACAATTAGGTGCACAGATCTTAAGTATACAATTTGAGGAATTTTAACAATTTTTCATCACGTAACCATAGCACCAGTCAAGAAATAGAACATTTCCATTACTGTAGCATGTTTCCCTGTGTTCCTTTCTGGTTAAACCCCCTACTAGTTAAACTTCCACCACCACCACCACCACTTCTGTCTTTGGACCACTGTCACTATAAATGAGGCTCCTGTTTTTGTTCTTCAAATGTATGGATTCTTGTTGGTTTTTTGTTTTGGTTTGGTTTGGGGTTTTTTGGTACCAGGAATTGAATACTGGGCCTTGTATTTGCCAGGCAGGTAGTACACTGCCGAGCTACATCCCTGGACCCCAAATACATGGATTCTTTTTTTTGTCTTTTTCCTTTTTATCAGTACCGGGGATCGAACTCACAACTGCCTGCTTGCAAGGCAGGCGCTTATGCCGCTGAGCTAAATCCCCAGCCCCTATAGATTCTTACAGAATGGGTTTTGTGGGTGTGTGCCTGGCATCTTTCATCCAGCACAATGTTAGTAAGTTCCGTACATATGACTACATGTACTAATAGTTCATTTTTACTTCTTTGCTTTGTTCCATTGTATGACAACAGTATAATTTGTTTATTCATTCTCCTATTAATGAACATTGGGGTTTATTTCTCACTTAAGTCAGTTCAAATAAGGTATTTGTGAACATTTACATAAATTTGTGGACATGTATTTTTATTTCTCGGATAAATATCTATGAATGACATTGCTGTGATTGGATTCATATGTGTAACTTTATATGAAGTTGTCATTTTTAAATGGTTGCACCATTTGACAGTCCCATCAAGGTTGTATGTTCTATATTGTCTCCAAACTTTAGAATTGTCAGCCTTCTTTATCTTAATCATTCTAATGGGTGTCTCACAGTGCTTTCAATTTGTGTGGCCCTAGTGACTGTGATATGGTATCCTTTTTAAAAATATTTTGTTTTATTTTTTATTTTTTAACACCAAGTACATTCATCAGAAAAGATATGCTTTCTTATGTGCTTAGTACCCATTCCTGTATTCTGTTTTGGTACCTGAGGTTGAACTCATGACCTCACACTTGCCAGTCAAGTGCTTTTGCTGCTGAACTAAATCTCCAACCCCGTATTCTGTTTTGAAATTTGTCTTTTTATTGTTAATTTGTAAGTGTTCTTTAGCAGCCAAAACCGTTGTTATATATGTAGGAGATTTTTTTCCCTCAGTGTACGGCTTACCTTTTCATTTTTAAAATCAAGTCTTGTTCTTTTCTGTTTGTTTGTTTGTTTGTTTGTGACAAGGTCTCACTTTGTAGTTCAGGCTGGCCTTGCATTTGCAGCATTCCTTTTACCTCAGCCTCCCAAGTGCTGGGATTGCAGATATGCACTATCATGCCTGACTTAAATGGCACATCTTTTTTTTAATTTTTTTTTTTATTTAAGGAGAAAAAGAAAAAAAAAAACAGAAAAAGAGTACAAGTTATACAGAATTTCAGAAAAAAATAAACAATAGGAAATCACTAGTTAATAGATTACATATTGTTATCTTAGAAATAGTTGTTCAAGTTATAAAATTAAAGCATATAACGTGGACTTTCAAACAGTGAGACTGCAAACAGTTTTGTTCAATGATGCAACAAAACTCAGTAATATGGTTATCTGTCTTATACATTTAAATATGTATGCAGTTATAACCTTTAGAGCACTTTCTTTTCCTTTCTTTTGTACAATGACTATTACACATTTTGGGTTTTATTACTCCCACAGTTCTTACTACTTTTTTTCGAGGAGAGTAAAACCAAATGTGACATAACAGAACAGAGTCAGTCAAATCAAAAGGATAAACATAATAGATAATGTAAAAACAAAATACTAGGAGATCAACAATGGTTACCATACTGCCTCTTGCTATCTTAAAAAGAATTGCCTATATCACAGTTATAATAAAATTGAACAAAACAGTAAAGAATAAAACCAAAAAATTGGAGACATTACAGGACTTTAAAAGAAGATAATAGTCAACCGGAATGGGCGTCATAATGAATCTTACTTTCTTTACAGTTGTTGCCTATACTTTTGAACTTGGTACTATCAAGCAAAGCAGAATAGAGGAAAATCAGTCAAAGGAAGATGGTGACGGCTATACAGGGTTTCAAGTCAAGTTAATAGGAAATCAAAGTGGGTTACTATAATGTATCCTGCTTTTTTATTTTTCCCTTAATTAAAAAGATAAAAATAAAAAAGTAAATAATTTTAAAAAAGGAGACTGAGATAAAAGAGGGCAAAACAACAAAACAGCACAGGTCAAAGCATAACCATTTAAGCAAAATAGTGTTTCACCACAAGATATCCTGACCTAAAAGTAGTTACCATAGTGTCTCTTTCCTTGAAATCTTTGAGTATAACTTCATATACTGTAGCACCAAACATATCAAGACAATGTAAAACCATTCAAGGGGAATGACGGTATTACAGGGTATTTAGAACCAACTATCAGAAAATGAACAATGGTTTCTGTATAATCTCCTTGTCTATAAAAGTTTTTGTTTATATTATCACATATAATAAAATACAATAAGATACAACCTGTTGAGACCGATAGAGACAGAAGAGTAAAAGCTTGATGGGACTTCAAAGCAAGATGATACTAATCTGCACTAGCTATTATGATGTCTTGTTTTCTCCAAAATAGCTGTTCCTGCCATCCAGTCTTCTCTGCCTCATTTCTGTTGAGATGTTTTTCTGTCGTTTGTTGTCAGTTTGTCTTCTTCATTTCGCTCTCTGCTCCATTCATTGTGGCATCTCTGCCACTGTTTCTGAAGTCTTGGTATTTTCCTTTTTTAGAATATCCTGCAGTATTCTCTGTAGAGTTGAATTGGTGGTTGCAAATTCCCCTAGTTCCTCTTTATCCTGGAAGCACCTTGTTTTTCCATCAATTTCTAGGGACAGTTGTGCAGAATATATCAATCTTGGCTGGAGGTGGTTGTCTTTCAAAGTTTGAATTATTTCCCCCCACGCTGTTCGTCATTTGATGGTTTGTGCCGAGAAGTCTGCTGTAATTCTGATGGGTGTTCCCTTGTAAGTAATCTGTTTCTTGTCTCTCACGGCTTTTAGTATTCTGTTCTTATATTGGATTTCTGGAATTTTGATTATTATATGCCTGGGTGTAGCTCTGTTGGTTGTAGATGGCTGGGGTCCTGTACACCTCATACGTCTGAGTATCTTTACCCTTTGCTAAATTAGGGAAATTCTCTTGGATTATTTCTGTGAATAGTTTTGTAGTCCATTTGTTTGTGTCCCTACTTCTTCTTTTATGTTCTTAATTCTTAAGTTATAGATCCTCTTATCATCTTCTAGCCTTTGTATTATTGCTGTTTGTTTTCTTGTTATTTTTAAGAAGTTTTTCATTTCATGCTCCCATATTACAAATCTTCCCTCCAATTCAGATAATCTATCCTTAGTTTCAAGCTGTTATGCTAGTTTTCGATAGAGTTTTTAGTTTCCTAGTAATCTCTTTGAACCTGCTTCACATATTCTATGTTTTCTCTATTTTCTCCATCAAACAATTCTTCCCTTTTTTTCTGTTCTTCCATTCCACCATCTGTTTTTTCTTGGGCGGTGCTTAGCATTTCTCTAACTATTCTGCTTATATCTTGCTTTATTTCATTAAATACTTCATTTTTAAACTCATCTATGAGGCTCTGGAGATACTGCTTTATGTCTATTGGTGCCGTGTCTGATATTGCATGTTTTCTGTCTTCCTTTGTGTTTCCCTTTCCTGGATCAGTGTTCTCAGGATTGGGGACTGAGGACCCTTTCTTGTTGCTTCCTCTTCCCATACTTTTTGTTCTTTCCATACAAGTGAATGTAGGAGGCCCAATTTTTTTCTTTTTCGGTTACAGTTTGTTTGAATTGTGCCGGCTAGGTGTTCCTGCCCACTGTAGTGTACTAGGGAGACACAGACCTGGGCAGCCTATGTTGGGCCCACCCCTCCAGGTCAGCCTACCAAAGGCTTCACCGCTAAGGTGCACCTCCAGGCCCTGGGACCTGGTGTGGGCTAGCCTATTGGGTCTTGGTCAGCGGTGTCACGCAGGCCAGGCACTCCCCACCAATCCCACTTGGGAGGGGAATATGTGACTAATGTCTCTGCAGTGCTCTATTCCGGCAAGTCTGCCCGGTGCCAGTATGTCCTTTGCTGGAGCCTCCTACTCTATGAAAGGGTCCCCGTTCCTCTCACTCACTGCAAGTCGATGTAGGGCTCCCTGCTAGTCCCACTCTCAGCTCCATTGACAGATGCCCGCTCTCAGAGCTTTCGCGCGTCTCTCTCTCTGCCCTGCAGATTTGTACATAGCAGTGGCAGCAGGAAGTTGTAATCGCAGCTTCCAGTGGCACGGGTTCTAGCTTCGGTGCTGAGATTTTATCTGTTTCTGTTATAGCACCAGGATTGGATTTCCAGTTGGTTTCTCTTAGCTTAGTTCATTCCTGGGTCGGCAGGGTGTATCTCCCCTTTCTTAGGACTCCTCATACCACACCATTCCTGGATTTTAAGTGGGGTATCTCAGAGACCCTCCATAGCTGCTGCTATCTATCTGCCATGTTCTTCTGGAAGCTGAAATGGCACATCTTTTAATGAGCAGAAAAATACTTCAAATTTTGAAACCACTTGTGTTAGCTCCCTGTTACTATAACAAATATCTGAACTTAGGGCCTTTTTAACCTGGGCTACATTCCCAGCCCTTTTTTATTGTGTTATTTTGAGATGGGGATTAGGTTTAATGTTTTGACAGAAAATTAATTGCATTAGTGTGGCTTGCAGATTATATTAAAAGGCAGTAACTTCATCTATAGAAATTCCTCTTTTTAAAGCCTAGTACTAAAAATAGCCTATTTTGTAATTTAAAAAAACATGGTTACAAAGCAAACTATTACCTGATATTTTTTAAATAGTTTGAATACAGCCACTTAGCCTCCATCCATCTGTAACTTTCTGAAGAGCTGACTACTTCTAATAGGACCAAAGAGACACAATCATAGGACAAGTAATTGTACTTGAAAATAGCTAATCAAAAATATTCTAAAAGATACACTAAGAGAGTTTTTTAGATGTGAATATCTGTGTGTGTGTGTTGTGTGTGTGGGGGGGGGGGACCCAACCCAGGGCCTTGTGCATGCTAGTAAGTGCTCTACCATTAAGCTGCATCTGCAGCCCAAGGTGAATTTTTTAAAAATGAATGAAAGGTAACATGACAGAAGAACATAACAACTCGATTTCAGTAAATATTTCTCTCAACATAGACATAACTGGATAGAGCAGATGCAAAGGAAGGGAAATACTTCTAACAAATTTATCTCCTTGGTCCATTTGTATTACATACTGAGGGGTATGAGAAAACTAGCAAGTGACTACACTGTACTCAACTGCTGTAAGCAAAACTGAGAGACATTGTGGTGCAAAGGGAAATGCCAGATGGTGGATGATGCACATTTGTCCCAGGTTTCAAAAGGTTGAAGAAACACTATCTACAAGTGTCTGAGATTGATATTGATGATTCCTAAGAATAATAGTGGGACTTCTTTTTAAGCAAATAAGTGATTCCTGCATATTCCCAAAGGAAATTGATGAACACTAAAAGATGTGTAACCTTTATGATTTTAGGGGGATGCTTGTTTTTGGTTTGATTTGGTTTGGTTTGGTTTGGTAACAGAGTCTCCCTATGTAGTTCAGACTGACCTTTTTTTTTTTTTTTTTCTTTTTGGTACCAGGGATTGAACTCACAACCTCACGCTTGCCAGGCAGGCACTTATACCACTGAGCTAAATCCCCGGCCCAGACTAACCTTTAAACTTACTATGTAAGCTAGTCTGGCCTCCTTCCTCAGCCTTCCAAGCACTGGGATTAAATGATGTTCTACTATGTCCGGCTGCCCTTTATGATTAAAAAGGACATCATCTAACAAACCTTCATGAATGTATAATACTATACCAGATGCCTTAAGTGATAAAAATCTAATATTTGACCTTGAGATTATGGTCAATTCTGATTCTGTTGGGATTTTTTTTTAAATGCATTTATGGAATTGGTTGGTCTGGGCATTGTGAAATATAGATATCATTTATTTGATTGTGAGTTGTGCTTTACAGTTTCTCATCCCACTGGACAAAAGGACTAGTGAGGGCCAGTACAATTCTATGAAATTGTAATTACTTGAAGTACCTAACCCACAAAGTAATAGAAGCCTCAGGTTCCTCATCTGTCTCATGTTATAACAGTTAAATACAGAAGACTGGAATATAGTGTTTACTTAGAAAAATGTTAGCTATTATTGGCTTGAAGACAGCATGTTGATACAAAGTTGATGGAAAGAGTGAAAAAATATCCAAAATTATCTCAATTGATAAACAACTGCCCAAATTAAATCAAGTGAAATTGATTAGAGAAACAAGTTGAAGTACTGAATTTTGGTTCAAAAAACTAGAATTGGTACATCCATTTTCATAACTATTTTTCATAATAGCTGAAATATTCAGCTCGGATATCCATTGACAGATGAATGGATAAGCAAAATGTGGTATAGTCATACAAATGAGTGCTCATTTGGCAGCACATAAACTAAAATTGAAATTATACATATGATGGAATATTTTATTATTTTTATTACTATTATGGAATATTATTCAACCTTAAAAAGGAAGGAAATTCTGACATAGGTTACCACAGTTTTTTTATTGTTGTTGGTTTGGCTTGGTTTTGTCTTTTTGAGATACCATATTAGTACACTGTTCAGGCTGGCCTTGAGTGCACTTTAGCCCAGGCTGATCTCGAACTTGCAGTGATCCTTCTACCTCAGGACTGCTGAGATTACAGGCATGTGCTTCCATACCCAGGTGTTTGGTTTTGTTTTTGAGACAGAGTCTCTCTGTGTAGCTTTGAACTTGCTTTGTAGCCCATACCAGCCTAGAACTTGGAATCCTCTTGTCTCTGCCTCTCAGTGCCAATTAAAAAAATTTTAAGGCTTGGGAGTTAATCCAGTGATAGAATTTATACCTAGAAATCGTGAGGCCCTGAGTTCAATCCCCAGCACTGCAAAATAAAAATAAAACCTGACTACCCAAGAACAGAATATTTACTAGGACCTTTAAGAAGTCCTGCAGTGTGAAGATGACATAGCTAATCTATATTCTGAAAAAGAGGCAAAAAGGGACTGGGGATTTAGCTCAGCGACATAAGCGCCTGCCTTGCAAGCAGGCAGTTGTGAGTTCAATCCCTGGTACCGATTAAAAAAAAAAAAAGAGGCAAAAAGATCAGACTACATTTACAATATGATCAGCTTTTTGCCCAATAATAACTGTTAGGTCCCCCATCTGAGAGACAGCATAATTAATCATCATGGCAACGGTTCAAAACTGTGCCCTGATAATACACACTTCTTTCTCAGAAGCCCCTATAGCTTCTTCCTCCCAAAGGTCTGCCAAAGCTCAGGCATGTAAAGGTTTACCCATTCCCCTGCACTCTTAACAGAACAAATCAGCTTACATCAGTCCTCAGGGCTCTACCCCCATCAGAGCCTGTATCAGGCAGAACCTGTCCTTTGTCTGCAGGGAGAGCCACACAGCCTTCTCTGTGATGACTCACTCTGTGCCCTCCCCCATTAAACTTTCTTATCTACTTGCCTCCTCTCTTTAATATTCTGTGCTGCTCTAGATTGAGTACAAGTCACTCAATCAGTAACCTCAAATTTCAGTAATTTTAGACAATCTTTATTATTTCTCATGATTCTTTGGGTGACCTGGGTGATAGTTCTAGTCCTGAGTCAGCTCAGCTAGACTTGGCTGTCGTGGTCTCACTCACATAACTGGTGTTTGGCTCAGCATCAGCTGGGGCAGGACAGTGGGGATGATTTGGTCGCTTGTCTATTGTGGTGCAGCTGTATGGCTTGGGCTTATTCATCTTCCAGCTTCTTGTGTCATATTGCCAGTGTCCAATTGGCCAGAGCAAGAAAGATAGTTAACCCTGAGGTGACTGGCAACCCAGTGGCTTAAACAAAGGGAGTTTGTCATCATTTTGTACACAACCTGCCACAGCTTGGGAAACATTAAAATCATCACAGTTCCACAGTGTGGGAATTTCATGGGGACACATTTCAAGTCTATCTAAAGAACTTTCTGCCTCAGGAGAACAGAAGTAAGCTACCAGTAAAAGAAGGACTTTGTCATTAAATGTGCTGAAAGGATTTTGGAACCTTTTGTTTTCCCAACTGGAACCTGTTACATCATTTCCTCCAGGAAACCTTGCCTGCACATCACTCGAGCGTGCTAGATACTGGTACTCCTGTTTGTGCTAAACTCTCTAGCCTCCTCCCTTCTCCCCTCTGTCTATTTGTTTGTCTGTCTCTGTCTCTCACGTTTCTGTGGCTCTGCCTGTCATACCTTAACGGATTTGCTCAAGTATCTGTCTTGTCTATGAGATGAAACTTCTTGAGGCTACAGGTAATTTACAATTCATCCTCTCAGTGCCAGTGTCTTCAAAAAAATTGCCGGTGGGTGTGGTGGCACATGCCTGCTATACCTGCACTCAAACTGATGCAGGAGGATTGCCACAAATTCAAGACCAGACTGAGCTACATAGTAAGTTCAAGGCCACTTGAACTACAAAGCAAGACCCTGTCTCAAAAAACCAAAAAAAGAAGAAAAAAGAAAAGAAAAAGAAAAAAAGCAGTTGTGCCATGCTCAGTTTACCTCTCGGTAGCAACCCCAAGCCATAGAATCTATGTTCCTTATGGAAAGAGTTAGGGAGAAAAAAAGAGTTCCCGCCAGTTGAGATTGCCTCTTTTAAAGAACATTTCCATAAATTTTACTAAACTGTACCTTTTTGTTTTTCTTTGAACTGCATGAGGATATTATTCAGCCTAGACAAGTGCCCTACCACAGAGCTACATCCCCTACCCAAACCGCCCTCCTGTGCTTATGTCATTAGATATAGCTCTGTGCAAGGAAGACTGGGGAAATAGTTTGGGCTATGTATGTTGTTACCTCCAATATTTTAGTAGTGTTAAAAACAAAATTATAGGGCTGGGAATTTAGCTCAGCTGCATAAGCACCTGCCTTGCAAGTGTGCAGTCGTGAGTTCGATCCCTGATACCGATAAAAACGAAAAAGACAAAAAAAGGGGGGGGGTTAATGAAAAGCTTTTAATGAAGAAATTATTTACAGTTCCTCAGGCTATAAACATGAGATAGTATTGCAGCTGGTTGATATTACCACCCTAGCCACTGTAGACAGAGGTGTTCTTATTCCTTGAACCCAGCAAACTCTATGACCTGGGTCTATGGCAGGGTCCCTTATTGAAGAAGCTGTGACCTTGGTCAAGGAAAATACTTTTGGCAAACCACATTCTGGAAGGGAAAGAGGATAGAGTATTAAGTATTTAGCTCTTTTCTTCTTGCTCTCTGATCTCTTCCTGGTATCCAAGTAGAAGTCAGAAGACCTGGAACCCTGGACATTAGCCATTTACTTCCTCTTCTCCTCCTCCTTCTTTCACTCTCTCTCTCTCCCTTTTTTTTTTTTTTTTTTTTTTTTTTGTACTGGGATCAAACTCAAAACCATGTGCAGGGAAAACAGGAGCTTATGCTGCTGAGCTAAATCCCCAGCCCCTCCTTCTCCTTTTGAGGGGAGCAATACTGGGGATTAAATCAAGAGCCCTGTACTACAAGGGCTGTCTCTACAACTGAGCTAGATTCATGGGTCCCCTTTTAATTTTGAGACTAGTTGGCTTTGAACCTGTGACAGTCATGCTGCATCAGCCTCTTGAGTTGCTGGGGTTACAGGTGTGTGTCCCTATGCCTTGTCTCCAGATTTGCCTTCTGATGCATGAGACACCACAGAACAGAGGATCAAAGGGGAAAGGGTACAGACCAAGCACACCCGCCTTGTCAGAGTCCACATTCCTTAGATTAGCACTGGTCTTTCTGACTTGTCATCTTCAAACATAAGTCTCTTCATCATTCTGTGTCCCACAGTACCCCATTACTGTATAATAAAGATGTGATTCATAAACAAATTAGTATTGTTTTGAATGGTGAATCTGAAACACGCAGTTACCAGGTCACATAGCAAAACACACTTGCCTGCTCAGACTCATCATAAGGATGAAGGAGTTATCCTACATATATACATGTTACAAATGACTATTTTGGGGCTGGGGATTTAGCTCAGCGGCATAAGCGCCTGCCTTGCAAGCAGGCAGCCGTGAGTTCGATCCCCGGTACCGATAAAAAGGAAAAAGACAAAAAAGAAAAACAAATGACTATTTTACAGAGGCTGAGAGAGCTAAGTAACCTGCTCAAGGTTTCACATTGGTTGTAGCACTTGCACACAGCCAGTTGTGGGAACCTAGAAAATTACCTGGCCTCTCTGAAGTTCTGTTTTCTCAACTATAAAACAGGTTTGCACGGACTTGGAGACAGGCTGCACACTTCCTGGCCTGTTGTACTCACTATATATTAGATCCAGATTTATCCCATATTCCTATATGGCTTTTACAGAGAGACATCTGTCGCATTCATATGTAATAGAAGGTAATAGTAACATTTTTAAAACTTGACCTATGGGGGCTGGTGAGATAGCTCAGTGGCATAGTGCCTACTGGCAAGTGTGAGAGTGTGAGTTTGATTCTTGGTACAAAAAAAGAAAAAAAAAAAAGCTTGACCTATGTTCCAGGAGTAGTGGCTGACACCTATAATCCCAGCACTCAGGAAACTGGGTTGCTGTGAGTTCAGGGCCAGCCTGGGCTCTAATAGTTCAAGGTGAGACTGGACTACACATCAAGACCCTGTCTCAAAAAAACAAGGACTTCTGGGAAGATGATGGAGTGGCTAGCCACAGAGAAGTAGCCTCTGAAATTTGGTGTCCCAATGCTGAGATATAGTAACAAGAGGAAGAGAAAAGGGAAATGGGTCCCCAGGAACCAGCAAGGATAAAAAGTGAGAACAGAAGCCCACAGGGAGAGCAAAGAGAGAGACCTCAGTGCACAAGAAGGAAGGTAGCAAGCTCAATTTCCTCATTGCATGTGAAGGGCAATTTGAACCTGCAGATACACAGTGACTACTGGCAACCTCAGAGTCCTCTATGGAGAAATGCACCAGTGGAATGGAGCAGTGGACACAGCAGACTGTGCTGGCTGGTGAGTTACTCAGTTTCAGACATACCCCAGCAGAGAGTGATTGCAGTAGCCATCTTGGAGGGGAGCCAACTGAGCTGGGAACTGAGAACAGCTGCAGGCTGTCTCCATCTAGTAGCTGTCAGTGCCAGAGTGAGATGGAACTGCGTTCAAGCTGGCAGGAGGCACTCAGAGTGTTATGGGTTGAACAAATTGGGTTACAGCCTCATAGCTAGAAACCATCCTGAACTTCAGTGAAACTAAAGGTGCAAACTTGCTGGGATAATCCATTATTCCTCCTGTAATGGATAACATTAAAACTATGCCTGGCTTGCTGGGATTGATCAACATAGATCTGGACTTGTCTGTCCATTTGGTTTATCTGTGACAGCTGCGAAATGCCTTGATGTGGATGGGTGTTTTGTGTGGGTGTGTCTTTTTTTCTCATTTTCTTTTTCTTTGTTTTTTGTTTGTTGTCTTTTTGAAACAGTCTCACTATGCAGTTCAGGCTGGTCTCAAACTTGCAACATTCATCTGGCCTTAGCTTCCCAAGTGCTGGGATTACACTTAGCTTGTTGTTTTTGTTGTTATTGTTCTTCTTCTCTTCTGTTCTTATTTTTACTTCTTTGGTCTCTCTTTCCTACCATTCTTTGCTAGTGTCTTGGTTACTTTTCTCTTAATGCGAGATAAAATACCTGATAACCAAAATTAAGGAAAGAAAAGTTTATTTAGCTCACAGTTTTCGGGGGCCAGGTTTAGTCCATAATCAACTGGCTTCATGGCAAGATGGCATGGCCCAGGGCAATACTTCAAGGTGGCAGAAGACAGCAAAAGTAGTAAGTGCAAAAAGAGGGGAAACAGGAGACCGAAGCAATGCAAAGGAAAAAAGAGTAACCCAAGGTTGCAGCTGCCACCATGAGCCTCCTCAACAAGCCCAAGAGTGAGATAACCCCAGAGGAGCTGCAAAAGCGGGAGGAGGAGAAATTTAACACAGGTCCACTCTCAGTGCTGACCCAGTCAATCAAGAACAACACCCAGGTGCTCATCGACTGCCGCAACAACAAAAAACTCCTAGGCCTGGTGAAGGCCTTTGACAGGCACTGCAACATGGTGCTGGAGAACGTGAAAGAGATGTGGACTGAGGTCCCCAAAAGCGGCAAGGGCAAGAAGTCCAAGCCAGTCAACAAGGACTGCTACATCTCCAAGATGTTCCTGCATGGGGAGTCTGTCATCATGGTGCTGCGGAACCCACTTATCGCTGTCAAGTAGGGGCCTCGTCCTTGCTGTCAGGACCAGGCATTTTCATCTTGGGTAGGCGTACAGCTTTAAATCTGAAGGAGACAAAGCCAAAGCAACAATTACATATGCATGAGCCAAATAATAGAATTAACAGGATTAGTATGAGTACAATTAACAGAGATTTCCACCAAGAGGAGCTATAATGGCTTCCCATAAGGAGGGTAAGGATAAGGTCCAGGAAATTTTAGAATCTGACATATCATTGATTTGTCATCTAACTTCTTGAACAGTTAATTGAAATATTAACAGAAGGATCAGGAATGTACACATATTTAGTTTTTACAATTGCATAAGTACCTCCAGTGTTGTTAGAATGTCTAATGCCATCAAAGTTTGGAGGTCTGTCTTATTAATAAAAAAAAAGATTTCTTAAAATAGCAAGAGTCCCACTGTTTGAAAGTCCACTTTATATGCTTTAATTTTGTAACTTGAACAACTATTTCTAAGATAACAATATGTATGTATTAACTAGTGATTTCCTATTGTTTATTTTTTCTGAAATTCTGTATAACTTGTACCCTATTTCTGTTTTTATCTTTCTTTTTCTCCTTAATAAAAAAAAAAAAATAGCAAGAGTCCACAAATCAGTCCAGCACCTGCTAGATGATGTGAAGAAGAATAACATAAGATTGATCAGAGTCAGTGAAAAAGCAGGAGATAGAACAAACAGCATAAAAAACCTGTTCACAGAGTAATGGCAGAAAATATCCCAAGCATGAAAAAATTTGACATATAGATAAATGAGGCATATAGAACGCTAATTAGCCATGATCAAAAGAAATCTACACTGAGGCATATAATACCAAATTCCAGCTGGAGATATAGCTTTCTGGCATAAGCACCTCCCTGACAAATGCAAGGTGCTGAGTTTGATTCCTGATACCAAAAACATCCAGAAATTCACCCCAAAAATGGGATATTGAAAATTGTTATAAAGGAAAACCCATTAGAATCACAGCAGTCTTCTCAGTACAAACCCTCAAGTCAAGGAAAACTTGAAATATTTTAAACCCTAAATGAAAACAATCTCCAACTTAAGACTGCTGTCCCTCACTAAACTATCTTTCAAAATTGATGGAGAAGTAAGGTACTTCCATGATAAAGAACACCTGAAGAAATTCTTAACCACTAAACCAGCACCCCAAAATATTCTGAAGGAAAAAAACAGTATTCTGAAGGACATTTAAGTGGCACAGTTTGTAATAGCTAAGTTTTGGAAACAGCCCAAATGTCCATCATCCAATGAATGGATAAAGCAGATGTGTTTTTTAATACAATGTAGTACTGCTGTGTCATAAAGAAGGATAAGTTTGAGACATTTTTAGTTAAATGAATGTGTCTTGAGACCGTGCTCCTTAGTGAAATAAATTGGACATGCATGTTTATATACCACATTATTTCTCTGGTATGAGAAACCAAAAGTGTAAATAAGAGCCAGAAGGTATAATGATGTTGGGAAATGGGAAGAAAATGTTCAAACGAAGGGGAAAATGAAAAAAGGGTCAAGAAAAAAAAAAAAGAATACCAGGAAAAAGTGGAAACAAAACTTTCATAAATAAAGGAAAGAAGGGTTAAAGAGATGGTGGGAAAAAAGCAAGATCATGTATAGGTATAAATTCACTGTGATGAATGTTATCGTGTTTTTTTAAAGAATAAAAATCTTAAAAAACAAAACAGAATAAAGCCAATCAAAACAAAATAGTGAAAAAAAATAGTGAATGTGGTACAGAACTTCAAAACAGAATAATAGGAAAGCATAATGGCATAGTATCTCTTGCTATCCTCACCATCCATACCATCAGACATAGCAAAATCAAACAAAATAAGACCAATCAGAACAGAGCATTAAATAAAACATAACAGTAAATCAGAACAAAACTAAACAGAACAGTGTTGGATTTCAGAAGCAAGGTAAATCAGAAGGCCTTGGGTTGCAGCTCAGTGCAGAGGCTTTGGGTTCAATCTCCAGTACCCCTTCCCCCACAAAAAAAAGAAGCCTCAAAAATTTAAGCAGAGTGGAGGATTTAGCTCAGCAACATAAGCGCCTGCCTGGCAAGTGTGTGGTTGTGAGTTTGATCCCTGGCACAAAGTTAAGCAGAATCTTACTTATCTAGTACTATAAATTAAATTAAAGTTCCCAGAATAGCCATGACCCTTAGATTTACAAAAACAAAAACAACAACAAAAACCACTTTTAAGTTGAGAAAATAACCAAAATAGCTGAAGCTGAAGCCCAGGGCATGAAAATTACAGATACTATGTAACTGACCTATGCTCAACAAAGGAAGCCTACAATGGCGGCCAATAGAAGAGAGAAAAAGTAGAAAAGGCAAGAAAGGTGGGATGTTTACTTCCAGAAAGAATGCAAATGGTTAAGATAAGATAGAACCACAGGGATATAGTGCAGGACACCAGTCAGGTGGCAGAGTGGCGTGAAAGGAAGTGTGTTGTTAGGAGTGTCAGTCAGAAAATCCAAGGCATGTTTAGTTCAGTGATTCATGCAGGCACAGGTGTGTTTTGCATAGTGTCAAGCAGCACACAGTGCTTCTCCAGGCTCTACTGGCAAACTAACCCCTATCGCAGATATGGAATTTGCACTGTATGTATATCTAAATGCAAAAGAGCTGGAAGCTGGAATGTGGGTCAGTGATAGAGCACTTGTCTTGTACAAGGTCCTGGGTTCAATCCCCAACACCAGAAAAAAAAAAATGTTCTATTCATCTTAAGAAACAGCATTAGGATTTGAATCCAAATATTGTTGTTGTCTTTGCGTATACCATATGTGCTTACCATTTCATTTTTTTTAATAATAGTACTGGGCTACAATCTCAGTTTTTTTTTTTTGAGACAGAGTCTCACTGTGTAGTTCAGGCTGGTCTTAGACTTACTGTGTAGCCCAGACTAATGTCAAACTCACAGTGATCCTCCTGCCTCAGCCTCCTGAGTGCTGGAATTACAGGTATGCACTACTGCACCTGGTTTGTAATTTTATTTTGACACAAGGCCTTGCTGGGCTTGAATTTGCCGTTCTGCTTTGGTTTCCCAGACTAGTGGAATTACAGGTATGCACCATCAAACCCAGCTCTCACTGGGTTTGGTATAAAGGATTCAATCTCCAGGACTACGAAAAAAGGGCCAGGGAAGAGTAAGGGGAAGGGGGAGGGAAAAAGGGGAGTGGGTAACTCACAGTGAATTTAGGGTTATATTAAGCCTGAAACCCAGCCGGAGTAGAGAGCACTGCTTTAGCTAGAGGACAGATGCTGCATGACGGACCTGCTCTGAGCAGGTCCAAATCTCATCTCATTCACATGATTTGTTATGTATATAGAGATCCTTGAACACTTAAACATGGGTATATATCTTTTGCACTTTTTTTCCCTAAGTACACTTCAGATAGTGTTTGCTTTCCTGTTTTCAATGAATAAATGGTGAATGTCTTTCAGGTTGTTAAAGGTCTTCTAATCTCATCGTTTTCAGTGCCGCCATACCTTTATGTATCTAATACATTAATTTTTCATGGAAATAACAAAATTTCATAACCAAATAATAGAATAACAATAGAAACTAGTAGTATAACTATCTTGTATTTAGGGGTGTTTTTCCCTTTCCCTTCCTTCCTTTCTCCTTTCCCACAACCTAGTTCCTTTTTCCTTTTGAACAAATTCTTCCCATTTCACAATATCTATTGTACATTTTGGACCTGTGTATACTCCTGGAGACAATACGATGTTTACACTTATGAGTCTTGATTTATTTCACTTATGAATATAGTCTCAAGTTGTCTCCCTTTACCTATAAAAGTCTTGTACCAAGGATATAGCTCAGTGGCACAGTGCCTGCCTGGCAAGTTTGATTCCCAGTACTTTAAAAAAAAAAAAAAAGCCTCAAGCTTATCCTTTTTATAGCAGAGTAATACTCCATTCTAGAAAAAGATCATATCTTTTTTACCTGCTTCCCTGTTGATGGACATTTGGCCTGTTTCCAAGATTTAGCTATTACAAATTGTGCTGCTGTAAACATGGACGCGCATATATCACTGTAATATGATGCTAGCCTATTACTTTACAACAGCAAGTAGAAACACCAAAACAACAAGATTTGGAGGCATATTAAGCACTGATTAGGATCATTTCCAGCATATCATACCCTGATCTCTGGTAGTTTAGGCCTTTATATATATGAGATAAGCAGGAAGTACAGAGGCAGAATGGCTTGTCAGTTGGGGATTGTTTTATACAATGTGCATCATAGTGACCAGCTGTTTCTAAAACACAGAAGCAACCAGATCTCAACAGGAAATATTACCTGGGCAACTGAGAAACTGAAGTATACTGGGGGGGGGGCATTTTCTATTACAGCTTTTATTGGACATCTAGATATGTTCCAGTTTTTCAATACTATTTTCAGTATTAATAAAGGTGAATTACGAATTTTAAATAAACCGGACGTGGTGGCTCACGCCTATAATCCCAGCACTTGGGAGGCTGAGGTGGGAGGGTTGTTGGGAGTTTGAGACCAGCCTGGGCTACAAAGTGAGCTCAAGGCCAGCCTGAACTGTATAGCGAGACTCTGTCTCACAAAAAGACAAAAAAGGGGCTGGGGATTTAGCTCAGTGGCATAAGTGCCTGCCTTGTAAGCAGGCAGTCATGAGTTCGATCCCTGGTACCGGTAAAAAGGAAAAAGACAAAAAAGAAAAAAGAATTTTAAATAAATCTTTGCCAAGGATGCCTGGCCAGACCAGATGGACATGTCTGTGTCTGGACAAGCCTGATAACAGAACATTCCTCCTTTTGTTTAACTGATGATCTTACAGTATAATTAAAATGTAACAGGATATTTCTTCCACTGTATAACATATGCTTTGTATAACTGATGACCTTTACACCCCCTTAGCAACCTAAAGATGTTACCCAAACCTTCCAATCATAATGCACTGAATCTGCGTTTGTACCTCCCCCTTGCCTTCTCCATAAAAGCCCCAGAGACCCGCTGGGAGATGCTGGCTCTTTGGACAAATCCCAGTCAAGGCCACTAGTGTAATAAACTGCCTCCTAAAACTCCTCAGTGCTGTATCTTCCCATGTTTGTTCTCTTTTTCCATAGCATTAAAACTAAGCATCTTTAAGTTGATGCGATAGCACACACCTGTAATCCTAGCACTCAAGAAGGGTGAGACAGGAGGATCTTTGGAAATTCAACACCAGCCTGGGCTACATAGGGAATTCAAGAATAGACTCAACTATGTAGCAAGATCCTGTCTCCAAAAATCAAAAAAAAAGAAAAAAAAGGAGAAGAATCTTTTTAGTCTATGTAATTCTTCTCTGTCTTGTTTGTTTTTTTTTTTTTTTTTTTGGTTTTGCTTTTTTGAAATTTTTTTTTTTTTAATCGGTACAGGGGATCGAACTCACAACCGCCTGCTTACAAGGCAGGTGCTTATGCCGCTGAGCTAAATCCCCAGCCCCTTGGTTTTGCTTTTTGAGACAGGGTCTTACTATCATAGTTCAGGCTGGCCTTGAACTCACTAGCCCAGTGTGGCCTTTAACTTGTAGCAATCCTCCTGCTTAAGCCTCTTGAGTCCTGGGATTACTTTCTCTTTCCTCTTGTACTGCTTTTTGCTTTCCACTCTTTTTTTCTTTGTCACATAACAATACAACCATGAAGTTTTATGTAAGGAGGATTTTTGTGATGTTGTTTCAAGACAGGGCCTCATCATGTTCTTAAGGCTGGCCTGGAACTCATGATATAGCCTCAAATTCTTGGTGGTCTTTATGCCTCAGCCTCCCAAGTGCTGGAATTAAGGCATATACTACCATGACTTTTGCAAAAAAGAACTTTGAAGATAGTCATACTCCTTATTTTGTAGTTAAGGCCCCCAAAGCTAAATGACTTGACCAAAGTTACAAGGAAAGAATGTAGCAGAAGAGTTGTAACCCTAATTTACCCACTTTGTTTTTTAGGACAGAGTTTTGCTATATAGTCCCGACTGGCCTTTAGCTTATTACATACTCTGGGTGGCTCATATTTACCATTATCCTTCTTCCTCAGCCTTCCAGTTGCTGGGATTACGGATATGCCTCACTACTGGTACCTTTACCCACTTTTCGTTTTCCTGCCTTCTCTGATTTGCAGGAGATGGCTACTACTGTTATCCTTCAGTTTCCATGGAGAAGATTTAGCAGTTTGTCACTGGAATTTGTTTTACAGTTTTGAAAAAGATGGTGACATATGTGTTTGTGTGGCGAAGATGGCTGTAGTTGCGTTTGTTACCCAATACAGAGTTTGCAAACAAAAACAGAATTTTACAAAATGTTTCTGTTTGTGAATCAAATTCTTTACAAATAAAAGCATTCATGAACCAAGGTACCACTGTACCCATTTGTGTTTTTTGGGCAGAGAATTTACTGCCTCCAAATACAAGCTAATTTAGTGGCCTCATCTGAGTGTGCCCTTCCCTACTAACTGTGGCATGTTGCTTGCTGTTCTAGGAGCCATGCTTGACCAAGATGGTGGGAAGATCAGCTCCATGCTGGAGGCTCTGGTGAGGAGATGAGGCAGTGAGCAGAGGCTGGGTTCAAGATGCTGCCAGGAGTGGGCGTGTTTGGGACTGGCAGCTCAGCCCGAGTCCTGGTCCCACTGCTAAGAGCAGAAGGGTTCACCGTGGAGGCCCTGTGGGGAAAGACAGAGGAGGAGGCGAAGCAGCTTGCGGAGGAGATGGATATCACCTTCTACACTAGCCGCACTGATGATGTCTTGCTGCACCAGGATGTAGACCTGGTGTGCATCAACATCCCCCCTCCGCTCACCCGACAGATATCTGTGAAAGCTCTAGGTATGCACTTCGGGGCAAACCTTCAGGGCTCACCTATGTCCCTGGGCCTGAGGGTTCTGGGTAGTGATAGGCCTGTGTCTCTGGGTAGTGATACTCGGTGACATCCCTCATCCCTGTTGCAGAGCTAGGAGGAAATGTCTGTTGGAGGGTCCTTTACTTTTGGTTCGGGGATTTGTTTTGGGTTTTTTTTTGTTTGTTTGTTTGTTTTTGAGACAGAGTCTTTCAGTGTTATTCAGTTATTCAGTTCTTCCTATGTAGTTCAGGCTGGCCTTTTATGTAGTCTATGATATGTCACCACACCAGCAATGTTGGAGGGTCTTATAACCCTAAGAGGAAAAAGACCCAGCCTTCTCAGCCTCCCATTAGTAAATCCCTGGGCAAAAACTAAGGAAGTACTCTAAAAGATGGTCCATCAAGAGGCTGGAGATTATTACATTTCATTCGGTGTAAAGGGACTACTAACTTCCTCTGAGAAGTTAGTAGTCCCTGGGCACTGGGAAATTGGTTGTGACTGATGTGTTTATTCTTCCACACCATGACAGTGGTATGCAACATCACAGGAAGGAGAAGCAGCTGTTTAACAAGGTGACTATTTCCATGTTTTGTCAGCCCTTAGCTGTAGGGAGCACACACGCTTCCTCCCAAACTGCAATCTTGTATTGCCAGACATCAGGAAGGCTGTGACACTACTGGTTTCCTGACAGGATCTGTGCAACAGTGTGCTACATCTCTGCTCCCTTGGAAAGTTCCGAATTTGGTAATCCCGTCTCTAGATGGGTGTGGTCTGCTGAGCTGTTTATCTGCAGTACCTGTTGGACTTCTCTTTCCTGTCAACTCTAAGACAAGTTCTCCTGTACATAAATCAAAATCCAATTTATTATGAAAATGAGCCGGTAACATTCATTCAGCAATTATTTTTTTAATACCTCTTGAGTGCCAGACCTGGTCCTGATATCATTTTGTTTTTTGTTTTTTTCAAATCCATTTTATTTTAAAGAGAAGAAGAAGAAAACCCTAAAAATTTCAAAACACATCAATCAGGGGAAACCAATGCCATTGTCATCCCCAAATCATTCACCCAGAGCTCAAAATATCTGCAGTCAGTTGTCGAAACAATATCAACACAAATCTTTCTCCTCTGTGAATTTAGAGAAATCAGTAGTATAACTTTCTTAACTAATTTATATATATGTATGTTTTATTCAGCTTCTCACGCTAGTGAGACAATATGATATTTACACACGTGTATCTATGATTTATTTCATTTACGAGTATGGTCTCAAGATGCATCCATTTGCCTATAAAAGCCGCTGTCCTTCTTTATGACTGAGTAGTACTCCATTGTATAAAAAGACTACATCTTTTTTATCCATTCCTCAGTCAGTAAGCATTTAGATTGTTTTCCAAAGTCTAGCTAGTAAAAATTGTGCTGCTATAAATATGGGTGCACATATCTCACTGTAGTATGATGTTTTTTATTGTTTTGGGAAGATCTCCTTAGAGGAATAGCTAGGTCGAATGAGACCTGTAATCCTAGTTTTTTGAGGAATTTCCACAATGGTTGCATCAGTCTGCATTCCCACCAACAGTGGAGAAGGGTTCCTTTTTCCCCACAACCCTTCCAGCATTTGTTATTGCCTGATTTCTTGATACTAGCCATTCTGGAGTAAGGTGGAATCTCAGTGTTTTAATTTGCATTTAAGGGATGACCAGTGATGTTGAACATTTTTCTCATATTTACCATTTGTATTTCTTCATCTGAGAAGTGTATATTCATCTCAGATGCCCATTATTGGATTGGGTCTTTAAATCTGGGAGGACTTGAGCCAGGCGTGGTGGCTCATGCCTATAATCCCAGCACTTGGGAGGCTGAGGTGGGAGGATCGTTGTGAGTTCGAGACCAGCCTGGGCTACAAAGTGAGCTCAAGGCCAGCCTGAACTGCATAGTGAGACCCCATCTCAAAAAAAAAGACAAAAAAAATCTGGGAGGACTGATTTTTTTTAGTTCTTTGTATGTTCTTAATAGTAATCCTTTATCTGAGGTACAGCTGGCAAACATTTTCTCCCACATTGTGGATTGTCTCTTCACTCTGTTGGTTTCTTTTGCTATGGAAAAGCTTTTCAATTGAGATCCCAGTTGTTGATTCTTTGTGATAGCTCCTGTGCAGTTGGGGTTTTGTTCATAAAGTCTTTGCTTACACCAATGTCTTCCAGAGTTTTCCTATTCTATCTTTAAGTAGATTTAACGTTTCTGGTTTAATATTAAGATCTTTGATCCATTTTGATTTTAGCCTAGTGCATGGTGAAAGATATGCGTCCAATTTTAATCTTCGGCATGTGCAGAGCCAGTTTTTCCAGCAGCATTTATTACAGAGGCTATCTTTCTTCCAGTGAATGTGTTTGGTACCTTTGTGATGTAGTGTGTCTGGAGTTGTTTCTGCATTTTGTAATCTGTTCCATTGATCTTGGTTTTTTGCCAGTGCCACACTGTTTTTATCACAGTACCTTTATAATATAATTTCAAGTCAGAAGTTGTGATTCCCCCGCTTGTCTTTGTTGTCCAAAATTGCCTTTGCTATTCTAAGTCTCTTCTGGTTCCAGCTGAATTTTAGGATTGTTTTGTCTAATTCTGTGAGATAGGCTATTGGAATTTTGATTGGGATTGCATTGAATCTGTGTAACAGTTTTGGAAGTATGGCCATTTTCACTATATTGGTTCTTCCTACCCAAGAGCATGGACTATGTCTTCATTCTCTAATATTGTCTTCAATCTTTCTTCTCAGAGTACTGTAGTTGTCAGTGTAGAGGTCTTTTACATCCTGTGTTAGATTGATTTTTAGGTATTTTGTTCTGTTTCCCTAATTTCTATCTCAGTGAGTTTGTTGTTCATATACAGGAAAGCTATTGATTTTTGAGTGTTCACTTTGTAACGAGCTATGTTACTGAACTTGCTTATTAAATCTAGTAGTCTTTTGGTGGAGTTTTTGGGGTCTTCTAAATAGAATATCATGTCATCTTCAAATAACAATAGCTTAATTTCTACTATTCTTTCTCTTGTCTAATTGCTCCAATTAAAGTTGCCAGGACAGTGTTGAATAAGAGTGGAAATAGTGGACATTCTTGTCTTTTTCCTGATTTTAGAGACAAAGCTTTCAGTTTTTGTCCATTTAGTATGACGTTGGCTGTTGGTTTGTCATAAATGACCTTTATCAGGTTGAGTTAAAGACTATCGCAATTTTCTGTAAGTTTGTAAATTTGGAAGTATTGCTTCCCATTTAGTTTCATTAAAGAGCTTGAGAAATAGTGGTGTTAGATCTTCCCTAAATTTCTTGTGGAATTTAGCAGTGAGTCCATCAGGGCCTGGTCTTTTCCTTGTTAATAGGTTAATTACATCTTTGATTTCATTTATTGGTATTGGGTTATTTAGGATGTTTGTGTCTTCTTGATTATGTATCTAGAATCTGCCCGTTCTGTATTTTCCATAATAAAGTTTTCAAAGTAAGTATAGATGATTTTCAGGATTTCTGCAGGGTCTGTTGTGGTTTTACCCTTTTCATTCCTAATTGTGTAGTGTCTTGGTTACTTTTCTCTTGTTGTTGGGACAAAACATCCAACACTCAAAATGAAGGAAGGAAACATTTATTTCTTAGTTTTAGGAGGTTTCCCTCCAAAATCAGCTGGCTCCGAGGCAGGGTGGCATGGCACTGGTGCAACACTAAGGCAGCAGCCAGAGCAAAAAGGAAGGAAACAAGTCTCTTTTCCTGGCTTATATAGTACAGGGACCACCCCGGGTCGGTTGTAGCATTCACAAAGTATTCATGCCCTACTTTGTACAGAATGAGAATATTTACAAAGTAAGAACCCTGGCTCCCTTTTGAATCTCTCAGCTAAACTTACTGCTCACATTGACACAATGTATCAGCTATAACATGGATTTTGAGTCTTGTCTTTTCTTTTTTGATAAGGTTAGCTAAGTTGTCAACAAACCAGCTCTTCAGTTCATTGGTTCTTTGTATTGTTTGTTTTTCAGTTTCCAGTGTGATAATTTCTGCTCTGATCTTTATAATTTCCTACCTTGTATGAGCTTTTGGTTTAGTCTGCTCTTCTTTTTCTGGAAGTTTTGAGGTTCAACATTAGTTGTTTATATGCACTTGCTCTGTTTTCCTGATATGAGTATTTACTGCTATAAATTTCCCTCTTTTTTTTTTTTTTTTTTTTTTTTTTTTTTTTTTTTTTTTTTTTGGTACCAGGAATCAAACAGCCTCACGCTTGCCAGGCAGGCACTTATGCTGCTGAGTTAAATTTCCCTCTGAAGACTGCTTTCATTCTGTCCCAGAAGTTCTGATATGTTGTACTGTTATTATTCAGCTGTAAAAACCATTTGATTTCTTCTTTAACTTCATCTGTGATCTATTGGTTGTTCAGTAGGGTGCTATTTAATTTCCATGTGTTTATGTTCTTATGGTTTCTTTTGGCATGGATTTCCAATTTCATTGTCCTGTGATCTGATAATATGCATGAAATAATTTCGATTCCTTTGAGTTTACTTATAAACGCATGTTGTATGAGCTAGTATATGGTCTGTTTTGGAGAATGTCCCATGTGCAGCTAAGAAGAATGTATATTCTGATGCTGTGGGGTGGAACATTCTATAGACATCTACTAAGTCCATTTTTTCAAAAGTTTGATTTAGTTCTAATATGTCATTATTGATTTTTTTGTCTAGTTGATCTGTCTTTTTGTGGCAGTGGGGTATTGAGGTCTCCTAATACAAGAGTATTAGGGCTTATTTGATTTTTCATGTTTGTTAATAATTGTTTTATATAGTTGGGTGAACTGGTATTTGGTGCATAAATATTTATGAGGATTGTTCCCTTTATAAGGATATAGTGACCTTTTTTATCTCTCATAATCAGTCTTGGCTTAATATTCAGTTTGTCTGCAAATAGAATAGCTACCCTTGCTTTTTTATGGGTTCCTGTATCATGGAGTTTTGTTTT